TTGTTCTCAGTCTAACTTCTAACATCTCAACCCAGAAGCTGACGCAGTACCCTGTCACTTAAATCTCGACCAATATATGTACATTGGGACTGGACTTATATCAGTGGTGGACAACCTGCACACCTGGGCCACATGCAGCCTATCAATTGTTTATGTGAGGCCCATGAGAGATTTTCTTTACCATGCCCTGTGCACAGGATTGCCAGATTCTGCTGGTATCTGTCCATGTACTTTTTTCATACCGGTATTACTAAAATGACATGCACATGGGCACGTAGAGGCTACGTCTACACTACGAGTTTTCTTTGCAAAAAATATGCTAATGAGAGATTCATTTGCATGAGTTGTGATCTCATTTGCATATTTTCTGCCGATCCATTTTTGTGCTGGTTTTTTTGCACAAAACAAGCAGTGTGGACATTTTTCTTTTGTGCAAAAACCCCTTTTTCCGCAAGATCGGTATACCTCCTTTTTGGGGGCATAAGGATCTTGCGGAAAAAGGGTTTTTTGCGGGAAACTAAAACGTCTGCACTGCTTGTTTTGCGCAAAAACCCCAGTGCAAAAACAGATCAGCAGAAAATATGAAAATGAGATTGCAACTCATGAAAATGAGTCCCTGATTAGCATTTTTTTGCTGCGAAAACTTGTAGTATAGACATAGCTGAAGTGAGATGCTGGCTGATTGCACACAGCATTGACTGTGAGAGCCACACACTCCCTCTACATCCAATCAAAGCACTCTGCAAATTCTAGATATGCGATTGCAGTTAGCAGAGCTACCCTATCCTGGGAGACCTTATTGGTTACGACAGTCTTGTGGCCCACTGAGATGAAGAAGGGCCACTCATCTGGTCCATTCACTAGCCTGGTTTTCCCATTACTGTTCTATATAGAGGATTGATTAACAAGTGGAGCCGCAGCTGAAAGGCTAAGTAGAGAGGAAAGCAAACTGCAGGAGCTGGAAGCAGATAGAGAGAAAGGAAACACTGGTGCAAGTGAAGCACTTTAATGAAGGCAGAGCTGGGCAACACTGCGTCTAGTGCTGCTTCCTGTCCCTCACAGAAGATGGGGAGCTAGCCTTGACTTGCTTGCATGGCAGGCCATAGCCTGCTGTCACAGTACAATAAAGCATGAATTGGTGAAAGGAGGGAGTGTGATTTATTCTTTTGGGAGCAGAAAAAACTCACCGAGAACTATGACGTTGTTAATAATTTTTAATCAAAAGCATGCAAAATTCTTGGTAGCCACATAAACCAAGAAGAAACTGTGCATATTGAAATGCATTTTGCTGTGAAATATTGTGGGTATTAAAAAACTTCAGATGAAAATTAGTGTTGAGTTCAACTGGACAGAAACCTAGAATGTTCTTACATAAAGCCCTGGGAAGTTAAAGTTTGCATGATTCCTGTCTCCTTCTGTAATCCAGAAGGCAGAACTGGTTAATTTGTGTTTGTACTATACTGCTGCCTTTAAAAAAAGTCAAACGAGAAAAAAAGATTCTTCAACTGAGCCCTGATCCTGAAATGTGCTGGTGTCTTCTGGAAGGTGCTAAGTGCCTTCCATTTCTACTGCGCCTGATTCTCCTCTCACCTACACTGATATAAATCAGGAGGAATGCCAATGCCCCTATATTGAGAGAGAGAGAGCTAGGCCTACTGACTTCAAAATGAATGGAGAATGCTCAGAACTCCACAATATCTGTCCGCAGTCCTTAAACTGTGAATATTTAAGTATGGCACAGACATGGTTTTAATTAAACTACTAGAGGTAACATTTTCAGAAGTGCCTAAATCCCATTTTCAAAAGTGCCTTAGGTGCTTTTGAAAATTTTGCTGCATAACTCTTACAATGGTATGGTGCGTCTCCTTTTCTTAATAATCCAAAATTGTCAAAATCTCATTACTGAGATTTAATGAGAGTCTTACCAACTCTGATGCCATCCTGTCCCATTGGTTTGAATGAGAGTAGATTTAGGTCCCCAGGGTTAGATGAGGGACACAGAAGTCCAGATTCTCCTCTCAGCTGCACCTTTGTAACTGTAATGACCACCATCTTGGAACAGATGCTAGGAGCTGAACAGATCTAGACATGACATGAACTGCTATAGCTTGAATAAAAGGCTATGCAGCTGAAGGCTCTAGCAGACAGGATCCATGCTGTGGATCAGGCATAAAGCAGAATATTTAACACATAGTAGCCTGTGGGTTACCTAAAAATAGGGTGAATTATGGAGTTACTCCATACGTCTTTGTCTTTATTTCCTAGAGTTTTATACTTGGTTTCTATCCAGACGTTTATGAAGTTACACTGCTGTAAATGAGAGCAGAATCCAGCTCCATATCCATCCAGCATTAGGGCAAGAGACATGAACTGGTAGATTTTACTCCTATTGCATTCTCTCTTAACTTGCTATGTAACTGTGCCAGTCACTTAACTTTGCTGTGTCTCTATATTTTGAGCATGTTAAATAAGGACAACAACAATTCAGTTTACATGCCTTGAGTTCTTCTGAATAGAATTGTCATATCAGCATGCAGCAGTACTATGATACTGCCATACCTTGACTTTCTAATCTGAGGATTTCAAACTGCATTAATTACTGGCAAGATACGACCAACACTGATCAACCCACTCTCATGGGGTTTCATGCTGTTGTTTATACTCCACAGTAAAAGTTACTTATGTTCTTATGTCATTATCTCAAGTACAAAGGCTAAGCAGGGTTCCTAACAATCAGGTCTTTATGGATCGAAAGACCATGGTGATGGGAGAGGACTATCGTGTTTCTGATATGAGGGGATTAAGATAACTCCAGCAGTTGGATAGTCAGTGCCAGACAAATTCCGTTTGTCAGATGAAATAAGTTGATTTCTGATGTAGAAGGTCATGTGGGTCATTTTTATCTTCAACATTAAAAACGCACTGTGGAAATCAGACCATAAATCTATGTCCAGAGCAGTGTAACACTGCGTAACTAAAAGACATAACATTCAGTTTCTAAAGTATAATGTAACTAGTATATTGACTCAGAATTGCTTGGGTCCTTAACTCAATCAAGTTGGTTGTTTGGGGATTTTTGGAAAATAAAAGGAAGGTGTAAATGCTTTATTTAAGTGATTGCAATTTTCAAAAATACAGTGTTACTTTTATGGAGTTAATTTTTATTTCAGATTTCTTTTAAAAGGGATTGTTACAATTTTTCCATTTAATTGGTTTTTAGCAATTTTTTTAGAATGAGAATTACATCAAGTGTATTTTTTCTTCATCTATGAGTCTATGATCCCTATGAACTCTTATCATTTCCCCAGACAGAGTCAGGAATGCAGCAAATTGTTGACTTTCCTCTTGCTCTCTGATAGTGACAAAGAGGTACAGACAGCAACATCTCCGTATGAATCTGAGGGGGAGGGGGAAGCTTGAGGTCCCCTTCCCCCAACCCTCCCTAGGGTCACAGCTGTGGCTCTGAACAGACAGACAGAAACACAAACTTTCTAAAATATATAGTAGACTAGAAGATTTACCTGACATTCCTTGCGTCCTTAATTCAATTATATTTTGGTTTTTTAAAAATGTACATGCTTCATTTAAATTATTGCTCTGGGGTAGGGCTGGGGATGAGTAGGCAGGCAGCCCTGTGGAGAGAGGACAATCCAGCCCTCTCTCACCACAGCAGCTTCAGCCAGATGAGAAATGCCTCTCCATGACTACTGCAGCTCCAGGGAGCACAGCCTGTGGAAGAGGCATGTCTCCCAGCTGGGGCAGGTCCAGGTTCAGCTGCCCCCTGCACTTCCCAGCCAGAGTGAGGAATGCAGAAAACGATGTACTTTCCCCTTGCTCCCTGAGGAAGGGGAACAGCCAACAATGTTCCTGTACAAATCGAGGGAAGGGGCAATGTAACCCCACTTCCTACAAGGTGCCTAGAGGGTGGGAGGCATAGAGCTGGGGCAGTCCCATATGAGGAGCACCTGCAACCAGCCACTTTCACAGTCACTTTCCTGGTGATTGTCATTTTTCTATACAGTTTTATGAGAATCAATCCTATTCCAAGCACATCCCATTTTCTGGCACAACCAAACTCTGACCTTGATTTGAGTTATAATAAGAGGAAGCTACATACTGAATGTGGTAGTCTTTGCTCTTACTGTTTAGGAGGAGTTGTGGGACAGACAAACAAACAAACTCTTCCAAATATATAGCAGATTAATATGGATGTCTCTGCAATAATCTCTACATTTTCATGAATTTGTTTTTCCAACATGATACTGTTCCAATTGTCTTGACCTCTGAGTTGTTTTCCAAATGTTGTCTATGAAACAGCATATTTTACATCAGTACCAAAATCATTGTGGGCAGCTGTACCACAGGGGAAGAACAAACACATTTAAAGAGAAAGATCTAAACATAAATCATTTACTACTGCTGTTAAAAATCAACTGAAATTTGTGCCTTGAATGCAACAAGATTTTGGCAGGAAAGATGCTTCGCCAACTTTTGGAAAAAAAGAGTTCCTTATTTAATTAAAATGGCCATGTTCCAACAGTGGTTCCTTCACATTTTCTTGTCTTTGGCCAATACAAATAAATAATCATATTAGAGAGTGGTTTCTGGCCGGGGTGGGCAATAATTTTTAATGGGGGCCACTCCAAGATTTTGGAAAATGATCAAGGAGGTCAAGAACTTCTGTGGAGGGGGCATAGGGTGTAGAAGGGATAGAGGGTGCAGGGGAGAGTGTGGGGTCTGAGAGGGAATTTGGCTGCAGGAGGGGGTTATGATCTGGGCCAGGAGCTTAGGGAGCAGGATCCAGGTGGGGTTATGAGTGCAAGAGAGGATTCTGGCCTCGGGGAGGGGTGCAGGAGAGGGTACAGAGTCTGGGAGGGAGTTGTGGCCTGGAGGAGGTAGGGAGAGGAGATACAGAGGGTTTGGGTAGTGGCCTGGGGCTGGCAGTTGGGGTGAGAGAGGAGGTGGGGTGCCAGAGGTATGCTCTGGCGGGGGGTGCTTACCTAGGTAGTTCTCAGCCAGTAGCTCTGCAGGTACTTGAGACAGACTCCATACTTGTGCGCTGGGCAGGCTGCTCCACATGGCTCTGCTCCAGCACAGGGAGGACAGGAAGGAGGAGGCTTTATTCACTGCCTCCTCCTTCAGCAAAATTTCTCAGCTCCTATTGGCCACAAACTGTCCAATGGGAGCTTGGGGATTTTGTTAGGGGGCAGGAACACCGTGCAAAGCTTTCTCCTCCCTGCCCAGCTTGCTGTTTAAAGTGGCTGCAGTTGCTCTCTAGGAAGCATGCTGGTGAGGCAGCCATGGGCTGGATTCTTGCCCACTCCTGACTTATGGTGATAAAAGTATATAACAAACTCAGACAGTAGTATGTGTATGTACTATACACAGACTTACCATGCTCACAACAGAAATCTTTCTAGCATTTTAAAAGTTTTTTACTGGTTTGAGAGAAACTTTTTATTTGCATAATATGGAGTAGTGGATGAACATAATAAGAACTTTCAAACAGAAACTTTTAAGTGCAACCATTGTAATTCTTGTACTAAGCGTAATGTTGGGAGTCATTAATAAACGTTAGATAATAAGACAGAAAACCATATTGCCTCTGTATAAAACCATGATACATCCATCACAACAAACAAACAAAACAACAAAAATTGTAATTGGAAAAGTTTCAGAAAAGGCCAATAAAAACAGTGAAGGATATGGAACAGCTTCCATATGAGGAGAGATTAATAAGACCGAGAGTTTTCAGCTTGGAAAATAGATGACTAAAGTAAGATATGGTTGAGGTCTATAAAATCAAGACTGATGTGGAGAAAGTAAATAAGGAAGATTTAACTCTGGCTTCCTTTATATTTGTATAGTACCTAACCCAATGAGAACTGCTTCCTGTCAAGGGTTTTGGATACTTCTGCTATACATATAATAATAATTATTAATAATAAATAATCCATCACCAGACATAAAGCTTTCTATCAACATCTGACCTAACTTATTTTTAGTGACCCTGGTTTATTTAAAATATGTGATTATTGCTTTTCATCCTCCATTTAGAAGCATATTCTTGTACAGATGCCAGAAATTGCAGGAATTAAAAGCAAACATCCATGCGCTAACAATTGTTGCAAGTGCTACACCCAATGCACTCAAGTCCCATGACATTCCTGAAGTCAACCAAAACACATTTCTGTGCTTGCCTTGCCACTGTAACCGCTTAAAGTAAAAATGTTAAAGTAACCACCACTCAATAAATCGTTGCCAAAAATTACAGTAAAACCCACTTTCTTAATGGTCAAAGAATGAAGCCAAAAACAACAAACCAGTGTGCTGTGGTAAATTTTGAAAGCATTGATATAAACCATAAAAACATATTATCAATTATTTTCTTAAGTTGCCTCTCACTCGCTCGCTTTTTATTTTTTGGTAAGCTGCAAGCAGAATGATGGCCTATGACAGCTATAAATAAGGCTGAGTAACTATAAGATTCACTGTGACTGCATAGGACAAATCCTATAGCCCTTACTTAAGGCTAGAGCAAATCTTCCCTCTCTAGTTGTAAAAACCACAGAAACAAGATAGATTGCCCAGAAAACTACATTAAATTCACATCCTGGTGTTTTTAGTGAATGCTTCAATTGGGATGGAAGACTTGTGGGGCTGTAAAGGAGGCAATGGAGCATCCTTCTGTGAACTCCAGGAGTCCACTGGGAAAAGATGCTACCGCACAGCAGAAAGTCAGAGATTCTTCACTGACTGCTATCCAACTTCTCAAGATGGCTTCTGTTAGTTCTTCTTTGCTTGCACATACCTTAACTCTCTTACGTGGATGAAGGCATGAAGGAAAGTTAGTGCTTCTTGAAGCTTGATGATCTGCTAGGCTCAAAGGGTAACCTACTGTGATATTCTACTACTGTTCTGCCATGCCCCCCCCCCACCCTTTCCCTCCTCTTACTCCATCAGATGCCCATGAAGGTCTGTGGAGCCAGGGCAGAACTTCTGCAGTACTGGCGGACAGCGAAAGGTGGATAGTGACATGGAGCAAATGTTCCACCATCTATCTACTCCATGTACCTCTATTTACTTTGCCCCCGATTTGTTCCTTTGGTTCTGTGTTTCATTCATATTACCAAAGTAAGTACTTAGGCCCAATTCATGCTCCTACAAAACTCAAGAGTAAAGACTGCAAAATTGGGCCCAGTAAAATGTGGCACACTGGAAAAGTCAGATACAGGAATGTCATTAATATCTGTCAGTTTTGGAGGGGATTCATATTTAGATGGTAAACTCATAAGGGCAGAAACTGTCTTTCACTTTGCGTTTGTATGGTGCCTAAAGACAATGAGGACTCCATCTTGGTTGGGGGTTTCAAGGTAGTACCATAATGCTATTAATATATTTTTGTCAGAATGTCTCAACTACTTCACACTGGTATAAATGACTACACAAGTTTTAGGGCAAAGATAAATCAGGCCTCCAATACAGGCAAAATCTCCCATTGAAGTCAGTAGTGGTTTTAGCAGCATAGGGATTGTAAGAGTGGGTGTTTCTTGTCCAATCATGCCAAAATTTAAAATGTTGCTTAGCTCAATAATAAAATGACTGACTGTTTCAGTTAGTTCTTCAACAGTGTGACTAACTGCAATAAATCTATTCTGTCTTACATAAAAAAACATCTCTGAGTTATAGATGCATGTCTTAATACAGTGAATGAATTAATTTGATTACCATCAGTCTGTTCTCATTATGCTCCACTTATTCCACATTTAACAGTATAAAAATATGATTTAAAACATTTTAAATCCTTTCCAACAAGGTTTTAATTTTTGAACTCCAATGGAATCATTTCTGAACTCTTTTTTTAACCAGCTAACATTTTAAGTTTCCAACTGGGGATTTTCATTTATTTTTCAGAATAGTGAAGTGGGGTAATTTTTCACGACACAACAGTTATTTTTAAACCTATGGTTCTGGGGATGGAAAACAAGTGTAAAGCACCATATATGGGGCAAAGCTCGCCTTCAGGTATACCCTAACTATCCTACTAACTTCATTGGGGTTTCCAGGGAGTGCAAAGGAGTGGAGGTTGGTCCTAGATTTGTTTATTTTGCTGTTCAAGAGTTTCTTTAAAAATGAATCCTTAAATTCCTGCTTTCCAGAGAACAGGGATGGGCTTGTTCACAACAGCTTTACAACCTTTTACTTTTGTTTCTTTTTTCTCGATCGCTTCAGGGAGAGGGAAAAAATCATGTGAATCAACATTTTGTTCAGATGGATAGTATATGATGGCTTAACCCGCAGTGCTCCAGGGCTATTTATCTTGGCATCCTTCCAGATAGACCATCTGATATGCACAGGACACACTTTGTCTACTCATGAAAAAAGGGGAAATTTGAGATTTTATTCCTACATCATCTGTTTACTCCCTATTCCTATAAGAATATTCTAATTTTCATTTCAAAACTAAGTTGTCTTGAGTCTATCTGCCACTGGCAATACACAAATTTAAAAACAAGCAAGAACTTTAGTTTGTGTGCACATTATTGCTTGTACCCGTTTAACAGCAAAGGCTTTTTGCCAGTGATTTCTAGTGTCATCCTTTAATGAAGGCCTGTTGTAATGACAGACAGATTAACTGGATTAGGACTCCAAGGATGAGATACAGAACTGAACTTTCCCAAATCTTGAGATATTCAGATTCAATATTTGTGTTCAGACTCATCACAAGTGATTTTTTGCTAAGGGTTATTGGACCAAGAAAATTCAAGATTGAAATCAATTTAACTGCTATATTGAAATCTTGTTGGTAAATCACAGCTGGAGGACACACGCAGTTGTACTGCTCAAGCAGAAGCTGGTAAATATTGCAGTATTTAAATTCTTGTGCAAATGGATGGTTTCTTACTTGACTGTGTAGCCCTGTACAACATGGTTTATGGACATTTTAAAGTATCAGCAATGGCCTGTGTAATGCAGGATGTCAAACTACCAGAGGAGAAGCTGTTCTGGATTTGGTTTTAACAAATAGGGAGGAACTAGTTGAGAACTTGAAAGTGGAAGACAGTATGGGGGACAGTGATCATGAAATAATAGAGTTCATGATCTTAAGGAAAGGTAGAAGGGAGACCAGCACAATTGAGGTTATGGATTTCAGGAAGGCAGATTTTGATAAGCTCAGAGAACTTGTAGGTAAGGTCCCATGGGAAGCAAGACTGAAGGGAAAAACAACTGAGGAGAGTTGGAAGTATTTCAAAGGGACGTTGTTAAGGGCCCAAAAGCAAACAATTCCGCTGTGTAGGAAAGATAGAAAATATGGCAAAAGACCAGCTTGGCTTAACAAGGAGATCTTGCATGATCTCAAAATAAAAAAGGAGTCATATAAAAAATGGAAACTAGGACAACTAACAAAGGATGAATATAGGCAAGCAACACGGGAATGCAGGGGCAAGATTAGAAAGGCAAAGGCACAAAATGAGATCAAACTAGCTACAGGCATAAAGGGAAACAAGAAGACCTTTTATAAATACATTAAAAGCAAGAGGAAGACCAAGGACAGGGTAGGCCCACTGCTTAGTGAGGAGGGAGAAGCAGTAACAGGGAACTTGGAAATGGCGGAGATGCTCAATGACTTCTTTGTTTCGGTCTTCACCGAGAAGTCTGGAGGTGTGCCTAACGTAGTGAATACAAGCAGAGAGAGGGTAAGTTTAGAAGATAGGATACACAAAGAACAAGTTAAAAATCACTTAGGAAAGTTAGATGTCAGCAAGTCACCAGGTCCTGATGAAATGCATCCCAGGATACTCAAGGAGCTGATAGAGGAGGTATCTGAGCCTTTAGCTATGATCTTTGAAAAATCATGGCAGACAGGGGAGATTCCAGAAGACTGGAAAAGGGCAAATATTGTGCCCATCTATAAAAAGGGGAATAAGAACAACCCAGGAAATTATAGACCGGTCAGTTTAACGTCTGTCCCAGGGAAGATAATGGAGCAGGTAATTAAGGAAATCATATGCAAACACTTGGAAGGTAATAAAGTGATAGGGAATAGCCAGCATGGGTTTGTGAAGAACAAGTCATGCCAAACTAA